GATTTGCAAAATCTGGCCCACTTAAAAATCGGCATGTGAGGGCTTAAACGGTGCTGTGCAAAAATCTTACAGAAAATGTATGATACAAAATTCTTTTTTTGCATGCTGTGCTGGGTTTAACAAATTAAACTTAGAAGTGCTTTTATTTGATTTTATTACCTTAAACCACTTTTCGTAGGATGGGTTATCCTGCTTTGGCGGATTCACTGCAGCATCTAGTGCCACCTGAAATTTATAAAAGTGTAAGATTGATTGAAAAAATTTTGTAACGGGAAAGGGACTTATCTTTATTTTGAAAAGAACGCCTTTTTGATTCAGTTTGTCCCAGCTCCTTTTTCTCAAATAAAACAAATAAAGTGATGTGATGCAACGTCTGGAGCGATCTGCATAATGGAAACTTTGAAGCTTTCAGTTTTGCTGACTTTGCTTTTTTGATGATCGAATAGGCTGCCAGGAGATATTGAGGAGTTTTTTAGTTAGAGATGCGCAGAAAAGATGGCCCGTGCGGTTTTTTAACGAAACATAATACAAAGAGAATCAGCACCCAACAGTTTAACCGCACAACAAATTTATCCTACGTGATGCAAACTTCGGTAAGCTCGAACAATATTAATGGGAAACTTTGTGTTCAGCAACGCCAAATTAGGTCAATTTGAGCGCTTGTATGAATGGAAAAGGAATGGAAGTGAAAATGAGAAGGATGTTCTGTTTGGCTTCTGACCACAGGCCAGTGTTTTAGTCAATAAGCCATCGACATGAAGCAGCAAATTCGTTGAAGAGATTTCATTTTGGATGAAATGCCAATTGTTTTTTATTTTTTTTAAGTGTATGTCAAGGGTCTAATAGCTTTTCGTTTGTTCGGATCCACCTGGGGAAAATACACATTTTCTCAAGGAATACACTCAGTTTATCTCTACATTCATCAGCTAAAAAAAACCTGTCCAAGAGAATTAGCACACAGGCGGGCTGATACCATTTTGGTTAATGCCTGGACAACTTGTGGATCGACATTTACGAGCTCTGCATATCCGGAGCGAAGACCACATTCACCCATGTAGCCCTTTGATACCGAAAAGAATGATGCAAGCTCCATTCTGCAATTATTTCTGAGCGACTAAGAGTGAAACCAAAGATAATACAGAATTTTCTGTAGAATAATCATTTTATTTTTGTGAAATGATAGTATTACTGCTAAAAAATAATGAGTACTCCCAATATTTTGCACTAATCACCCTTTTCTGTCTTTGTCAAAGTCCAAAGGAACAACAGTAGCAAATGGTAATTTGGCTGCACCATATTTTTTTATATGTTTGCATTATCGCGAAGCAGGTGGGAAAAAAGCTTTTTATATAAAATTTTGAAACTTTCCCAACTAAACGAAGAGGAATTTTGAAGTATTAATTTTAAGAGACACAATCATGATGGTTGTCAAGAGCAGTTTAACAATTCTGTGTTGTATGAATGATGCGAGACATTATTCCGTTGGCGTTTTTGGCGACTCTGCTAGGACTGTTGCTCACATTTATTTATTATGAATTTTTGCAAGTACGCAAACGCAGGACTTGCTCAGCGGAGCGACTGCCAGTGTGAAGACGCGTTATTTGCGCAGTGCCTCTGCACATTTTTATCACTAAAAGTACAGCTTTTCCTGGCAAATGTTTTCACTAAAAGAACTGAGAGTGGCCACCACAAACGTCAGTAACTCCCAATCTCTGGTCAAAAAATTCATCACTATAGGTGTTTCGACTGCAGATTTACTTTAAATTTCACTTGTTCGGGCGTGTAGAAAAGATGTGAAACTTCGTTCTATGCGCGATCGTCCGGATATGGTCCTGGGCAGCGCTCAGAAAATTCCACCACCTCAGCTGCTCTGGTAATAAAGGTACTTCAAATTACACGTACTCGTGCGTGAAAGAGAAACGCAAAAGTTCTTATGCACGATCGCCCAAGCACGGTCGTAGACACTGATCAGAAAAATTCAGCGCTTAGCTGCTTTCATGTGTGTGCGTGCGTGAGACGTTGTTTTCACCTCTATCTGGTCAAATATCGCTGTCGGCTACATTAAGGAAGTTTTAGCCCTCTAGCTGTGTCAGTTCTGAAGTAGCAAGGCTGACTGCGTTAAATTTTCACGTATCAGTATGTGGGATTCAGAAGGGCCTATAACTGGGATTCAGAAGGGTCTAAAGCTCTATTTGCTTTTACGGGCACATCAATCAGCGAAAAAAGACGCTGTTAAATTACAGCTCTCTACAACTTCTCGGGCAGCTTAATTCTCAAGCTAGCACGATGGCAATTTAAACTCTGACGTTTACGCACGTGAGACCTAAGATGCGTGAGGGCTGAACTTAAAATTTTTTGGGAAGAAGTGGACAAGGAACATCCTCGTGGAGTTTCAACTTTCTGTTTTGCGTGGTTCCCGAAATCGCTTTCTCGCAAAAATCAGTTGAAAAGGATGCCTGAAGTTTGGTGAGAATGTTTATAAGCCTATGTGGCGACTCGTGCACTTAAACTGAATTTTACGCTGTATTTGTGTTTCGCGTTAGAGCGCATCGAAAATATTCCTAGCTAAGTGGTAATTTTGGGAACAGAACAAGCTAGAAGGATGAAATTTCACGATAAAATTCCTTGACTGTGTGCAACTTGAAGATTTTAAATGCAAATACAAGATGTTCAAGGTCTCGTGTTATGTGCAAATAAAATTACAATTTTGGATACTTCTGATACCCATTTGCTCTGCAACGCGATGAAGCGGAAAGCTGAAATTTTGTGAAAATTTTTACTATCCATGTGAAAGCCTGCAAGTGTAAAATGAGCTTAATTACCAATTTCAACTTGCAACAAATAGTCATCCTTCTTTCCCGATAATCAGACAGCCAGGAAAGCAGAAATTCTAAAAAAATGCTGGCGCATCCTGTGCGTTACTGAAAATGCACAACCAGCCTTCGTAAACGTCTAAGTTTAGCATATGGATACGGTGAACTTGAGAGTATGTTTTGCCGACAAAAACTTCACGCAAAATTCCTGGCGGTTGTACGCACTGGAGGTTAATGCTTCATGCAACCCCAATGCAAGACTGCCGTTTAACCGGCGTCACTTTTCCCCAAACATGCAAAAAAAAAGCAAAAATACAAAACCCAGGTTGGAACGCACCAGGCTCTCCGGTGCAGTCATGCGTTTTTGCACTAAACTCGCAGATCGCTATTGGCAGGAATAATCCCTACGCTGCAGCCTATCACCTGGGCTCATGTTGGCCGTGCTTAGATCCTTTCCAGCATGCGTAGGAAGGGCGTCAGTTGGGATGAAGGTGGTGCATTATTGAACCGCACGGACACCCAGGTGAATAACTGTCGGTTTTTTATGCGTTTTTGCCGTGCAACGCTAGAGCGCTGCAACAGGCAGCAAAAACGCATACTGCAACGGCCCTGTCAGTGTGTGTGTGTGTGTGTGTATGTTTTTTGTGTGTGTGTGTGTGTGTGTTCGTCTGTCCGGGTATTTCAACTCGCTAACCGCGCAAGTTTTGGAGCTGGAATTTTGCCAGTGTGTTCCCCAGCCAGGTACCACCCCAGGACCGCAGTTCCAACACTCAAGCACGTCTGCGCCCCGCGTACAAGCACGTGAAAGTTTTGGCGCGAAAATCACTAACTCGGGGACGAGAAAAGTTAGAAAGCTGAAAACTTGAGAAAATGTTCCCCACCAGTATACGACAAAAAGATTTCAAATTCAGCTGCCCAGGACTGCCCGGGGCTCACGTACGGGCATGTGAAAATTATGGCGGGAAAATTCATAACTTGCGAATGAAAAAAGCTAGAAAGTTGAAACTTTGTGGAAATATTCCGCGCCCATGCGCGACTAAAAGCTTTCAAATGCAGTTGCCCAGGATTGCCCGGGGCTCACGTGCGGGCACGTGGAGTTTTTGGCGCGAAAATCACTGACTCGGGAACGGGAAAAGCTAGAAAGCTGAAACTTTAGGGGAATGTTCCCTACCCATGTACGAGCAAATCAGGTGTTTAGAGGCATCCGGGGCTTACGTACGGGCAAGTGGAAATTTGGCGCGAAAATCACTAACCCGGGGACGGGAGAAGCTAGGAAGCTGAAACTTTAAGGGAATGTTCCCCACTCATGTACGAGCGAAATCAGGTGTTTAGAAGCATTCGAGGCTCACGTACGGGCACGTGGGAATTTTTGGCGCTAAAATCAATAACCCAGGAACGGGAAAAGCGAGGAAGCTGAAACTTTAAGGGAATGTTCCCCACTCACTTATAATCAAAATCAGGTGTTTAGAGGCGCCCGAGCTCATGTATGGGCATGTAAAAATTTTGGCGCGAAAATCACTAACCCGGGAACCAAAAAAGCTGGAAAGCTGAAATTTTACGGGAGTGTTCCCTTCTTATGTAGAAACAAAATCAGTTGTTCAGAGGCGCTCGAGACCCAAGTACGCCACATGTGAGAGTTTTGGCGCGGAAATTATTAACTCGGGAAAGGAAAAAGCTAGAAAGCTGAAACTTTACGGGAATGCCCCCTACTCATGTACGAGTAAAATCAGGTGTTTAGAAGCGCCCGAACCCACGTACGAGCGCGTGGAAATTTTGGCGCGGAAATCGCTAACCCAGGAAGGAAAAAAGCTAGAAAACTGAAACTTTAGGGTTGTTTTCCCTATCTGTGTATGACCAAAAAATTTTAGATTCAGCTCCTTAAAACCGTCTTATACTCACGCACGGACACGTGAAAATTTTGATGGGAAAGCTGCTAAATCGGGAACGGGAAAAGTTGGAGGCTTTAATTTTAAGGGTATGTTCCACGCTCATGTGCGACTAAAA